AGAGAGGCGATCTCGCCTATCAACTCGAGCTTCCTCCCAACTTTGCAAATGTGCACGACGTGTTCCATGTCTCTCAGCTCCGCAAGTGCTTCAAGACTCCTGACCGCACCGTCAACTTTGAAGACATTGATCTCCAAGAAGACCTTTTTTATTGTGAGCACCCCGTGGCTATTCTTGAAGAGACTGAACGCAATACTCGCAATAAGTCAATCAAATTCCTCAAAGTCAAGTGGTCACACCATTCCGACCATGAAGCCACCTGGGAACGCGAGGATCACCTCCATTCTGAGTACCCGGCGTTCTTCCAGTCCTAGATCTCGGGATGAGATCCTTTCATAGTGGTGGAGTGTTGTAACACACGGGATGTAATTTACCTTTTATGTACTCCAACTCTTGCCGTTTCCGGCACTAAGTTATTTTATTTCCTCGGGTTCGGGTTTTTGTCTCCGTGTGTTGTTGTCGTTGTCATGCATCTCATATCATGTCATTATGTGCATTGCATTTGCATACGTGTTCGTCTCATGCATCTGAGCATTTTCCCCGTTGTCCGTTTTGCATTCCGGCACTCCTATCTCCTCCGGTGGTCCTTTCTACCTTCTTTTCGTGTGTGGGGGTTAAACATTTCCGGATTGGACTGAGACTTGCCAAGCGGCCTTGGTTTACTACCGGTAGACCGCCTGTCAAGATTCGTACCATTTGGACTTCGTTTGATGCTCCAATGGTTAACCGAGGGACCGAGAAGGCCTCGTGTGTGTTGCAGCCCAACACCCTTACAATTTGGCCCAAAACCCATCAAAACCCTCTCCATCATCTAGAGCGTTCGATCACGATCGCGTGGCCGAAAACCGCACCTTATTTGGACTCTCCTAGCTCCCTCTATGCCTATATAAAGAACTCCCTCCAAAATTCACGGGTCTTCTTCCCCGAAACCCTAGACCCCTTCCTCTTCGTGCGCCGGACAACGTCCGGACGCGCCGGACACGTCTGCCGCTCCGCCCGGACCAACCGCGTGCCGCCACGTGGGCAGCCGCACCCACATCGCCGCCGGCCCGCCTGGGCCCAAGGCCGGCCCTCTCCTCCCGCCCCCGGGCCCCGCCTCCTTCCTCCCGAGCGCCGCCCGCGCCTGAGGGAGCCTCGTCGCGCCGCCGTTGTCGCCCTTGCGCCGGCCGCCTCTGCCGCGTAGCTCGCCGGCCGGAGCCGAGCAACGCCGCGGCCGGTCCCGCCTCCTCGCCGCCCGTCCTCTCCTCCTCCGCCGCCCCTTGCCGGATCCGGCTACCGACAAGTCGCCGACCTCCTCCACGCCAAGTCCGGCGACCTCCCCGACAACTCCGGCGAGCTCCCCGACCATCCTCGAAGTCCGCGCCGCTATAGTGCCGATCCAGATCCAGATTTGATTCGGTTGACTTTCCCCCGAAACCCTAGTTATTTTGCATTTTTCATCATGCCGTAACTTTGCATCCGTAACTCCGTTTTGGGTGTGTAGCATATCAAAATGTTCGTCTCTGAGAGTACATCATTTCATATCATTGCATCATTTTCATTTGAGCTCATCTTGATGCCCGAAATGCTGTTGGAAGAGAGCTATTTGAGATAATTGTCAGATCTGCTGCATCAAATAGCTATTTGTCATTTTTGCCATGATTAATGTGTGCTTGATATGCTCCTGAGTTCTACATGTGTTTTGTTATATGTCATGCCATCTTTACAGAGGTGCTTATCATATATTTTTGTGATGTGTGTGGTGACTAACACAAGCTTGCAAAGTAGTGCATTCGTTAATGCTGATTTCAGGGACTTAGAATTTCACTAAGTCCTTGATCTGTTTTATCAATATGCCATATGTTCATGTTATTTCCTAGTGATCCATACCTCTTTTGAGGATGATCAGTAAGGATTATTTGTTAATATTGTGGTGCTCTATCCATCCATGTCTTTGTTTGAAATTATGGAGCACCCTAGCTTGAGTCAATAGAGCTCTACTTTTGCTATTTCGTGAATCCTGGCAGATTGTTGACTCATTAGTGATTTGGCCGAGGATGTTGTTGTTGATCCTTGAATGCTATGTTGTTGTTCTTGCCATGTCTATCTCATATAATATGTATTCTTGATGGGTGTATGCTTAGTTTGTCATGCCATGCTCTGTAGTGAGTGCATCGAGTTCGTGAACATGTCTACTCGTTAACAGATTTGCATGCTCCAGTTTTTTCTCTAAGTCTGTAATCTGTTTATGTTTTTGCCATGTTCACATGCTTGCAATTGTATTTTCTGATTCCTTTTGGCTCAAGGTCACTAATGGACTTTTGTTAAGTGCTTTGAGTAGCTTCATGTCATGCCTTGCTTTGCCATGTTAAGTTCCTGTAGCATATAGTTTTCATGCTTCAAAGTGTGCTACGTGATGTTAAATTCCAGACTTGTGTTAATTTCACTAAGTCTGAAATCTGTTTATCATTTGCACTTTCGCCATGCTTGTTTGAACCTGTTAATGGATGAATTTGCCGTAGCTCAGTGTTCATCTTTTGTAAAGCATTATGAGTGGATCCCTGCCATGTATTTTGTTGCCATGTTTGAGTGCTATAGCATAATTATCTTGATGCATTTAGATGGCTACTTGTTGTTTATCGCAGACCGGTGCCATATTTGTTTTGCTTGCCATTTCCAAGCCGTGCATCCGATTCCGGTGTTCTTTATATCGATTTCAACCGAAATCACCTCACCTTTCCAGTGGCACTCTTGGATTTCCATGTTGAGGCCAGTTTCAATCATTCCTTGTCAAATCTTGCATATGCATCACATATCGCATTCTGCATACCATACCATGTTTGCATCATGTTGTTCGAGCTTTGCACGTGGTTGATTGTGTTCCTTTTGCTTGTTTGTCTTGTTTGGGTAGAGCCGGGAGACGAGTTTGCTAACGAGGAGCCCGTTGAGTTTGCTTCCGAGGATCCAGTCAACTCTGACAACTTTGCGGGCAAGATGATCATACCCTCGAAATCACTTCTATCTTTGCTTGCTACATGCTCGCTCTTTTGCTATGCCTATGCTACGATACCTACCACTTGCTTATCATGCCTCCCAAATTGCCATGTCAAACCTCTAACCCACCATGTCCTAGAAAACCGTTGATTGGCTATGTTACCACTTTGCTTAGCCCCTCTTATAGCGTTGCTAGTTGTCGGTGAAGATTGGAGATCGTTCCTTGTTGGAACATTGTTTATTGTTGGGATATCACTATATTAACTTGTTATCTTAATGCATCTATATACTTGGTAAAGGGTGGAAGGCTCGACCTTTTTCCTAGTGTTTTGTTCCACTCTTGCCGCCCTAGTTTCCGTCATATCTGTGTTATGTTCCCGGATTTTTGCGTTCCTTACGCAGTTGGGTGATAATGGGAACCCCTTGACAATTCGCCTTGAATAAAACTCCTCCAGCAATGCCCAACCTTAGTTTTACCATTTGCCACCTAGCCTCTTTTTCCCTTGGGTTTCCGGAGCCCAAGGGTCATCTTTATTTAAACCCCCCCGGGCCAGTGCTCCTCTGAGTGTTGGTCCAAACCAGAGCCCCTTGCAGCGCCACCTCGGGGAAACTCGAGGGTTGATTTTAGTTGTACGGATTTCTCATCTGAGTGTGCCCTGAGAACGAGATATGTGCAGCTCCTATCGGGATTTGTCGGCACATTCGGGCGGTGTTGCTGGACTTGTTTTATCTTTGTCGAAGTTGTCTTGTAGAACCGGGATGCCGAGTCTGATCGGAATGTCTCAGGAGAAGGTTTATCCTTCGTTGACCGTGGGAGCTTGTGATGGGCTAAGTTGGGACTCCTCCGCAGGGATTTGAACTTTTGAAAGCCGTGCCCGCGGTTATGGGAGGATGGGAATTTGTTAATGTCCAATTGTAGATAACATGAACCTTAATTTATTTAAAATGAATCAACTGCGTGTGTAACCGTGATGGTCTCTTCTCAGCGGAGTCCGGGAAGTGAACACGGTGTTGGAGTAATGTTTGTCGTAGGTTGTTCTCTAGTTCTTCGTTCGTGCTTTGCCTTCTCTTCTCGCTCTTTTTTGCGAACAGGTTAGCCACCATATATGCTAGTCGCTTGCTGTAGCTCCACATATTACCTTGCCTTACCTATAAGCTTAAATAGCCTTGATCGCGAGGGTGCGAGATTGCTGAGTCCCCGTGGCTCACAGATTACTTTCAAACCAGATGTAGGGACCGATGATTCCGTTCCAGATGATGCGCTTGAGCTCAAGTGGGAATTCGACGAAGACTCATGCCGTTACTATGTGTCTTTCCCTGATGATCAGTAGTGGTGCCCAGTTGGGGCGATCAGGACCATGTCGCTTGTTGGGGTTGATATTTTATTTTGGTACTGTAGTCGGACCATGAGTGTATTGGATGATTGTAATGTTATTTATGTACTTTGTGTGACGTGGCGAGTGTAAGCCAACTATGTACCTTTTTCCCCTATTATCTATTTACATGGGTTGTTGTGAAGATTACCTTACTTGCGACATTGCTTTCAATGCGGTTATGCCTCTAAGTCTTGCTTCGACACGTAGGAGATATAGCCGCATCGAGGGTGTTACACTAAGGACGCGGGGCAGGTAGGTGGCCTTGTTCCGCATCTAGTTGATGGAGGTATTTCCATCCTTCAGTATGCTGATGATACTATCATCTTTATGTAGCACGACTTGGCAAAAGCAAGAAACATGAAGATTCTGTTATGCTTATTTGAACAATTGTCCGGGCTCAAAATTAACTTTCACAAGAGCGAATTGTTTTGTTTTGGAAGAGCTAATGATAACCAAGAGGCTTATAAACAATTGTTGGGTTGTGAATTGGGCACGTTACCGTTCACGTACTTAGGTATACCCATTCATCATCGTAAGCTGACTAAATGCATCGAAGATCGTTTTGAAAAGAAACTGAGCTGTTGGAAAGGGAAGCTCATGTCATACGGAGGACGATTAATTTTGGTTAATTCGGTCCTTACCAGTATGCCTATGTTTCTCCTATTCTTTTTCCAGGTCCCGGTGGGTGTCAGGAAAAGGTTAAATTTCTATCGATCTCGATTCTTTTGGCAGAGTGATGAGCTTAAACGAAAGTATAGGCTTTCTAAGTGGGATATAATCTATAGGCCGAAGGACCAAGGGGATCTAGGAATTGAAAATCTGGAAGTCAAAAACATATGTCTCCTTAGCAAGTGGCTATTTAAACTTTCGTCAGAGGCAGAGGCTACTTGGGCACAGATTCTACGTAATAAGTATCTTCATGCTAAAACCCTGCCCCAGGTGACTGTGAGGCCCTCTGACTCACCTTTCTGGAAAGGCTTGATGAGAGTTAAACAACTCTTTTTCAACAAGACAAGATTCATAGTCGGGAATGGAGCTAATACAAGGTTTTGGGAGGATACGTGGCTTGGGGAGAACCCCCTTGCACTTCAATATCCTACTCTGTATAACATTGTTCAACGTAGAGAAGCCTACGTTGCAACCATTTTACAATCCACTCCCCTCAATATTAGTTTTCGGAGGACGCTAGTTGGAAATCGTTGGGAGGCCTGGCTTCATCTTGTAAGACGTTTCATGGATGTACAGCTGTCCCAGCAGCCAGATCGGCTGTATTGGAAACTTACTAAGAACGGCGTGTTGTCGGTCAAATACATGTATCTGGATGTCATAAACTCTAGCGTCATTCCTTCCTCCATGTACGTTTGGAAAGTAAAGGTACCCTTACGAATCAAAGTGTTTGTGTGGTTTGTGCATAAATAAGTCATTTTGACTAAGGATAATCTGGCAAAATGCAACTGGGTGGGTTCTGCTAGATGTAGTTTTTGTGACCATAACAAAAATATCAAACACCTCTTTCTTGATTGTCCGTTGGCTAAGATTCTGTGGCGGTCGATTCATATTGCGTTTAATATTAATCCGCCCACCTCTATCAATATGTTATTTGGAACGTGCCTTGATGGGATTGATTCCGATACAGCGAGGCACATTCGTGTTGGCGTTTGTGCTTTACTTTGGGCAGTCTGGAACTGCAGGAATGATTTAGTTTTTAATAGATCAACGAACATTCACTTTTTGCAGGTTGTCTTCAGGGCCACGGCGTTCATCCGTATGTGGTCGCTACTCACTCCGACGGAGGCCAGGGAGTGTTTGGTTACTGCGTCTACCCGATGGAAGATGGTAGCTCGGGATATTTTCAACCGGTTTGGATGGCGGTCATGTAATAGAATAGGCATGTAGTGCTTCTATTTTATTTGCCAGCCGGTTGTGGCTTTTTGTCTTAGCTCTTTTGAGCTTTTGTTTTTTCACACTTGAAGACTTGGAGACTTGTTGCTGGACTATCGTTTTAATTTTATGAGCCGTATGCATCTATCTGATGTAGAGGCTAGGATAAAACCCTTTTTCGTAAAAAAAAAAAACTATTACTGTTGGATTGCACCTGCCACGCGTGCGCGTCGGAACTCTGAAATGCGAGAACAGAAGTACGTACGTACTAATAGCTAATAACGCGTGTTTATTGTTGTATATCAATATCATGGTTTGTTTGACGGCATTGTTGGGATGGGTATCATGGTTTCAGTCGTACGTCGTCTACATGTGGAGCCCGTCGGCAGGACCCGCCGGCGACGCGCAGTCCGGCCACCGCGCCAACCGCCTCGGCCGCCCGGCCTCCGGTCCGGCGATGTCATAATCGGCGTCATCGATACCGGTGCGGGCGACAAGCGCACGACTCGCATCGTGAGTCGAGACAGACACTGCCTGCATTTCATTTTTCTGATTTGCTGTCTCCTTCACGCGTCTGGCCGGAGTCGCCGAGCTTCGACGACGCCGCCGGGATGCGGGACGTGCCGGCGAGATGGCGAGGGGTGTGCATGGAGGGCCCACGCTTCCACAAGAGCAACTGCAACAGGTGCTGTAATAACAAGAAAAGAAAAAACACTTGCAATGTGCACCTTGTGACACGGCTGAACTTGTGCCATCGTGTGCCGCAGGAAGCTCATCGGCGCGCGGCACTACGGCAAAAAGGCCTCCTCGCCGAGAGACGACGTTGGCCACGGCACGCACTGCGTGTCAACGGCCGCGGGCGCGGCCGTGGAGGGCGCGGACTACTACGGCCTGGTACGGGGGCGGCGCGCCGGCCGCACGCGTGGCCTCGTACAAGGTGTGCACCACGGACGCGTGCCTGGGCTCGGCGCTGCTCAAGGCCATCGACGACGCCGTCAGCGACGGAGTGGACGTGATCTCCATCTCCATCGGCACATAGCGCTCGGCGCCTTCCACGCGCACGCGCACCAGAGGGGCGTCCTCATCGTCTGCTCCTCCGGCAACGACGGGTCCGACCCCTACACACGTCGCCAACTCCGCGCCGTGGATCCTCACCGTCGCCGCCTCCACTATCGACCGCGCCTTCCAGTCCAGCATCGTCCTCGGCAACGGGAAAGTCCTCAAGGTACGCGTCGCCATCGCCATCGCCGTGCTACACTGCTTCGTATCCCTCAACCTCAACGCGACGCGCCATGCCATGTCTGGGAGTCGGCATAAACTTCTCAACCAGAGCCTCGGCGGAGAGCGCTACCCTCTGGTGTTTGGGGCCCAGGCGGCAGCCCGGCGCGCGACGGTGGCCGAGGCAAGGTACATATATCAAGACCATTTTGAAGACGTCAAGTTACTACGTTTTACAATGTTGATCGCTGATCAGTCTGTGACGGCTGCATTGCAGCAACTGCAGTCCAGGATCGCTGCGCGCGCGCAAGGTGGACGGGAAGATCTTGGTGTGCGTCGCCACGGACTTGACGGTGTCGCGGCGGATAAAGAAGCTCGTCGCGGAGGACCTCATCACGGCGAACGTCAACTACCCGTCCATCTCCGTGCCGCGGCTCGCGGCCGGGAAGCCTGTCGCCGTGTCGCGCACCGCCACGAACGGGGGGCCGTCCAAGTCCGACTCGACGTACGTGGCGTCCGTCGAGGCGCCGGCGGGCCTGTCCGTGAAGGTGTCGCCCCAGCGGCTGCTGTTCTCGAGGCGGTGCACGACGGCGGCGTACGAGGTGCGCTTCGCGGGCGCCGGGGCCAGCAAGGGGTACGCGTACGGCGCCATCACCTGGTCGGATGGCGCGCAGTCGGTCCGGACGCCTTTCGCGGTTAATGTTGTGTGAGCCTCCTCTAGATGGAGAAGATACTCGGTCAAAATCACGGCCTGCCTGCCTCTGTTGCATGCAGCATAGCTGGTGGGGTAGTCATGCACTCATGTTTTATGGCTTCCTGTAGGCCCGCAAAATGTAACTCGAGTAGATTAGGTTCCTAATTACAAATAACACCCCCAATCATTTCTTTACTCTTTGTTTCCCTCAAGTACCGTTGATCAACTAACTAATCGTGCATCTGATCTACGGATCGAATCCTTGTCACAGCTTCTTCTTAATGTAAGAAAGAATTATTTAATTCAAACACAAACCGACCTTAGCTCAGTTGGTAGAGCGGAGGACTGTAGTGTTGCAGATCAATCCTTAGGTCGCTGGTTCGAATCCGGCAGGTCGGACACTCTTGACACTTTTTTCTTCCTTTCTTTTTTTGAGGGTGCTTTGTGGCTGCCGAGGTTAGACTAGCCACAGTGAGAGTAACTTCAATAGTAACATTGGGTCCAACTCAGCAAATTTGTTTATGTGACAATGAGTTAATGAGGAGAAAGCTAGTTGTAGTAACTTAGCTAGTTACTGTAACATCACATGTTCCAATGCAATATGAGTCTATAACCTAATAAATGAATCTTTGCATGTTATCACACTTAAGTTACTATCCACTATAAAGGTAGTAATATAGTCCAGGGATATGTGTATGTTACTCTCAATTGTGGCTAGTCTTATAGCGAGCGATCCAGCACAGATGGGTCGCTGGAGATTGGTTCGATGGGGTCGCATGCCTAGACACCAGCCACAGTGGGAGTAACTTCAATAGTAACATTGGGTCCAACTCAGCAAATTTGTTTATGTGACAATGAGTTAATGAGGAGAAAGCTAGTTGTAGTAACTTTTAGCTAGTTACTGTAACATCACATGTTCCAATGCAATATGAGTCTATAACCTAATAAATGAATCTTTGCATGTTATCACACTTAAGTTACTATCCACTATAAAGGTAGTAATATAGTCCAGGGTTATGTGTATGTTACTCTCAATTGTGGCTAGTCTTATAGCGAGCGATCCAGCACAGATGGGTCGCTGGAGATTGGTTCGATGGGGTCGCATGCCTAGACACCAAAGTCGACCAAGATCGGCACGCCGGGTAAAAAAGTGGTGACCAAAGATGATGGGCCGGCCTCGGGCAAGGTGGCCATGGAACAATGCAGAGGTGTCATGGACGGGGCAGGTATTGGCGAGCCTGCTCGAGTATGCATGTGATTGGTGAAGAAGAAGAGAAATAAAAATAATAAAGAAACAAAAAATGCTTCGTGGTGAGCTGAATCGTATGTCACAGACGCAGAATCACTGACCGGACATGCTTGGACACTCCTCATACTCATTTCATATACTCTCTTCGTTTTTTAGTCTGCATATAAGATTTGAGCAAAGTCAAACTTTATAAAGTTTGACAACTTTGTTGAAAAAATATCAACATCTACAATACTAAAGCTATACGTATGAGAATTAATTTCATGATGCATCTAACAATATTAATTTTATATTATGAATCTTAATATATTTTTTTATAAACTTAGTTAAAGTTTAACTCTGACCAAATCTTATATACAGAGTAAAAAGAGACGAAGGGAGTATGAGGGCAATATGAGGGGTGCCAGGCAATAATAAAAACATTTAAGGAGGCTTTAAGAGGTTTGGTTAGATCAATTATTTAGTTTGTCTGGTTAATGGCTCTGCGTTCTGATCAATTTGAGGAGCCCGCTTACAGATGGTTTTACTCTCTCTATTTAAAAATACTCGTGGGAGAGAAATTGATAAGGCATCTATTTTCCAACGAGTATTTTCCGCACGGAGGATGAGATTTTTGTGCAAAATAGTAAAATTCCCCACCTGAACCAGTTCCTCGCTCCTTTCCCTGACACGCCGGCCGTCGCTCGCTCGTACACGGCGACTTCGCCGGCGACTTGCGACGACGACTACCACCTCGAGCGCGTGCTCCTCCTTGACCGCAAGGCAGCGCAGGAGCTGTACTCGTCAAACGCCCTCAGCTTCTTCCTCGCGCTGCATGAAGGTCGCAGCCCACCTAGCGAGATGCCCACTTCCTCCCCCTCGTTTGTGTCGGCGGAGGAGGAGATGAGGAACTGGGCGGAGCTGCCGCCGGACGCGATCTCAACCATCCTCCAGAAGCTCGACCACGTCGACATCCTGATGGGGGCCGGTCAGGTGTGCCGCTCCTGGCGCGGCGCCGCCCGCGACGAGCCCGAGCTATGGCGCCGCATCGACATGCTGGGCCACGCCGACCTCTCCCCCGAGCTCAACCTCCACGGGATGGCGCAGGCCGCCGTCCGCCGCAGCGCGGGGAGATGCGAGGCGTTCTGGGGCGACTACACCGACGACCACGACTTTCTCCTCTACCTCGCCGACCAGTGAGAATTTTTAACCACCCCCCACACCATCTTCTTGTTTTAGGAGCTTTCTATTTGATTTGTTAGGCAGTGGCTATATGTTCTGTTTCCGTTCCAATCCCTTGCAATTTATGTGTACCTTCGTGTTTCGTTTAGCGGAAAAGTTCTGTACAATTTTATTTTTGGGTAGGAATCATGCAATTTTGCTATGGAATCACACAACTGAAAATTATGTGGTTTCTGATTTGATGCTTATAGTGCCTTTTTGTATTATCACTTTATCATGTTTTTCAGACTTATAACACTAGTTATTTTATTGAATTTATTATATATATTTCAGTAAGAGGAGTGACTATTCTTAGTTTGATAAAGAGAAAGCGCTAGAGAAAACCTATCACCGTGCATTACTCCGGACACCATACCGCCTTCATGTTGTCTGCAGCTTCGTAAAATTTAGTGATACTTAATTGGCAAGGGAGAATGGATGAGCGACTTACAAATAGAAGCACTTGTGGACGTATGGGTAAATCATAGAATGTTTGCAATAATTGGATGATTCTGACATTTCAAGTTTTACTCTGCTGAATTTCTCTTATCACAACATTTAGCCACCCTCTGGTCTGGTCATTGATCTACTTATCTTCATACAGTTAAACCTATCCCTTTGTGCCCACCCTATTGAAAAGGAATGCTGATTTTCCAGCCAACCAAAAATTGTTGTCCTGTCGTCAACCTGTGCATTGGCTTGCCAACTAAGAATTAACTCAGCCGAGTTCTTCATATATTGGTTTGTTAATACAGCGGGGAAGTATTCTTTGGTTTGGTTTGAAACACAATACAGTTGTGAGTTAGCCTTTTAGCGCTTCTGAGTATTTTCCAGTGAAACAGTCCCATTAGCAATGGTTTGAGACTTTGGAGTTATGTTGCTTGTTGAACAGAACAAACTCAACAGATTTCATATGCTGGAGTGCAGAGTTTATTCTAATTTTGCAACCTGCGATGAGGCATAAAAAACTTAGCATCCCTGAAATTTTTGTCAAATCAAACAATTAATCATTAATTGAATTGTCACTAGACCTCTTTAAGTTATGATCTGTGTCCTATGATGCTATGCAGTTATCTGAATTTATGAAATGTTCTATTCGTGCTCTGCAAATCTGTCGAAACATAAATTTAGCTTACTGTTTTATACAGGGTGCTTATGTCTTTCTATATGTGTGGCATATTTTTCTATTGGTTATTGAGATCCAAGTGCTACATTTGCAGGGCACCATCTCTCAAGAGTCTTCGCCTCATTTCTCGCTATAATTTTGATAAAGTACTTAAGGAGATGATAGTGAAATTCCCTTTGCTCGAGGAGCTCGAGCTTTCATTATGTTCAGATGTGGGTGAGAGTGGTGTGTTTGGGGTTGTTGGCAAAGCATGCCCACAACTGAAACGCTTCAGACTGAATAAGGACGTGTTCTATGATTTTGAAGCTAGTGACAATGACAGGGACGACGAAGCCATGGGGATTGCAACTATGCATGAGTTACGCTCTTTGCAGTTATTTGCCAATCGCCTGACCAATAAAGGACTGACAGCCATCCTGCATAATTGCCGCCACCTTGAGTCCCTTGACATTCGTCACTGCTTCAATGTCTGCATGGACAACACCCTGCGTGCAAAGTGTGATAGGATAAGTACATTGAGGCTTATCCTGCCAAGATTAAGTGATGTTCGCATGAGAGGGCAATTTGTTCGTCGGCAAACATCTGACAGGGGATTCCCCAGAATAATATCTTCCTCATCCATGGATGCCCAGGATGATCTTTCTGCCATCGAGAATCAGGTGTGCAAGCTAAGTGATGTTCGCATGAGAGGGCAATTTGTTCGTCGGCAAACATCTGACAGAATAATATCTTCCTCATCCATGGATTCTCGGGGTGATCTTTCTGCCATTGAGAATCAGGTGCGCAAGCTAATCGATGATTTGAGAAGCGATTCCATAGAAGGTCAAAGATCAGCGACATCAGAGATTCGCCTTCTAGCTAAGCACAACATGGAGAACAGGATTGTCATTGCAGATTGTGGGGCTATAAACTTGCTGGTTGGTCTTCTTCATTCACCAGATGCCAAGATCCAAGAAAATGCAGTGACATCCCTCCTCAATCTGTCCATCAGTGATAACAATAAGATTGCCATCGTGAATGCATATGCTATTGATCCTCTCATCCATGTCCTGGAAACAGGGAACCCTGAAGCTAAAGAGAATTCAGCAGCTACTTTGTCCAGTCTCTCGGTTATTAAAGAAAACAAAGTGAGGGTTGGACGATCTGGTGCCGTCAAGCCTCTCGTGGACTTGCTGGTAAGTGGGACCCCGCAAGGAAAGAGAGATGCAGCTATTGCATTGTCTTATTTATCCATAATTCATGAGAACAAGGGTCGCATTGTGCAAGCTGATGCGGTGAAGCAACTAGTTAAGCTTATGGATCCTGCTCTTGGAATGATCGACAAAGCTGTAGCTGTCTTGGCAAATCTTGCTATGATACCAGAAGGGAGAACTGCGATTGGGGAGACACGAGGTATTCCAGCTCTTGTTGAAGTTGTCGAACTGGGTTCACCGAGAGGGAAGGAAAATGCTGCCGCGGCATTGCTTCAGCTATGCACAAACAGCAGCCGATATTGCAGCGTAGTTCTTAAAGAGGGCGCCGTGCCCCCTTTAGTCACACTGTCACAGTCAGGAACACTGCGAGCAAGAGAAACGGTCTGCCACTTTTTACAACAAAATTTACATCTTGAAGAAAACCACCTGCAAAATCATTTTGCTAAGAATATGTATTTGTTGCAGGCACAGGCTCTTCTCAGCTACTTCCGCAGCCAGAGACATGGGAGCTCATTAAGCGTTTCCAAGTGGTTGACCGGTGCTGCGTATTTATAGTCAGATTGAGATTGTGCTCATCATCTCATGCTACTTGTTGGGCGTGGGTGTTTGTTGTTGAGATGGCGTCTTTTTCGGGTTTTTTTTTACATATCTTTTGTGCAGCTTGTTCATTGGTATCTTTTTGACCGGGATTTTGCTTTGCACGTGCTGTTAGCTGACTCGCACTGGTTTACTGCTTGCATGCTTCTACTGAGAGATGTCTCTGATGTGCCTGATGATGCGATTGTAGGCTAGCAGCGCTGTATCATGATAGCTCCAGGAGCTATCCTGGCTCAACTCTGCCAGGTGGCTTTTGTGATGCGTTGATACTTGGCAGTTAGCACAAATTTGCGTTATGCAGTACTAGTAGCTCAGCAGTCTACCTCAGTTATGTCTCTCTGATTGCACAGACTGTTTTCTATAAGAGAAAAGGAAGCGTCATGTTTCTTGTGTCACTGGCCTATTTCATCTGGTTCAGCGAGACAGATCGTAGGATGCAACCATGTGTTTCTCCCTGCCCCTCGAAGGGAAAATGTAATCATGCCTGACAAGATTGGGTGCTGTCTGCATGAGAGGGCAATTTCTTCGGCGGCAAACATTTAACAGGGGATTCCTAAGAATAAATCTTCCTCGTCCATGGATGCCCGGGGTGATCTTTCTGCCATCGAGAAGCAGGTACGCAAATTAATCGATGATTTGAGAAACGATTCTATAACAATCTATCGCGAATGCAGATGCTGTCTATCCAGTCATCCATGTCTTGGGATATTGAAAGAGAATTGGGCGTCTGCTTTGTTGTTCGGTCTCTTTGTTTGTTTTTTCAACCGGGCATTCCCCTTGCCATTACGGGCTTAACGGAAATGGAGTACAAAGTTCACTGGTATTACAAGCAAGATAGGAGGAGGGAAAGAGAGGGGAGGCGAGCTGGTGCATTGCCAGGAAACCTGCTATGAATGCTCGACATCGAGAAACCCATTACGGGACAAAACATGACAACGCAAATAGTTATACGGTAAACAAGCAACCTAACACCGTCATAATGTATTGAGAAGGACCCTAGATCGCCGCCGCCGCTCCCCTTTCTCGCCTTCCTTCTCCCTCGCCGCCGCCGGGCAAAGCCCGCGTGTGCGTCGGCGGCGGGGGGGCTCCCTCCCTCCTCGCGAGGCTCCTGGGCAGCGCGGGACGGCCGGCCCTCGCGGCGGCGCTCGGCTCGGCGGCAGGTCGGGCCGCCGGCGGATCTGGGCGGGGCTTCCCTGTGCGGCGCTGGTGGTGGCGTGGTCTGCGCGGGGCGGCGAGGCACGGGCTCCTCCTCCTCTCGATCTGATGGCGCCGCGGTGGCGCCGGCGCTCGGGCGTGCGGCGGGGTCCGTGACGGTGGTCGGCGCGCGACGTCTTCCTCCCCGATCTGATGGCTCCACGGTGGCACCAGTGCTCGGGCGGAGGTTGGCTTCGGCAAGCGGTGGCGGGCGCTGGGCTCTCGGCGGCGCTCCGGCGTGTGCAGGCGGCGGCGGTCCCTGTGCGCGGTCGGCGGCTCCGTCTCTGACCCGGACGGCGCGGGGGATGGCGGCGGCCCGGCGTGGCCGGCGATCTGGATGCGGTGGTGCCGGCGGCTCGCTGATCTGCCGGTATTCCATGGTCTGCTTGATGGTGCTGGTAGTGACGTCAACCCGTGCACGGGAGTTGGATCCCTTCGAACTGATCTGGGTGAAAACTTGCCTTCGGCTTCTGCTAAGGCCGGCGGTGGCGGCGCTATCTGCGTCGTTCCCTTCTTGAAGGCATCGCCGCGGGGAAGTTCAAGGCCACTCTCTGCTACCTCCAGGGGAAACCCTAGATCGGATGATCGGATGACGGCGGCGCTCTGGTGTCGTTCCTCCCTTGGGGGCGTCATTCTTGGCGGTACACACGTGATCAAGGGACCAGAGGACTGATTCTTTGGTGGAGCGGTGCTTCATCCTACACACTGATGGCGACGGATCTTGATGGCGTGGCGCAGTGCAGATTCAGAGTTCGTTGTGGGAGGATGGACTCGCGCAGGAGGACGACGTTGTCGAGCGTCGTGGTGGCGTCGATGGCAGAGAGCCCTGGCATGGTACATGCAACAGTACAGCTCTGAAGATGGATTGATGACAGGTGGCTGTGGCAGCCTCATACCCGGCAGGCGTCCTGGTTGAGGAGTGCGCCGGACCGGTAAGTGCCCCATATCCCGGCAGGCGTCCTGGTTGGGACCTCAGGTCTTAGATGTTTAGTTTTGGCTACGATGTCTGTTTGGTATTAGGCCCAGACTATCTGCGCCCCTTCATTAATTGTATAGGTGTAGCGACAGTTGTTGCTTAGACGGTGGCTTTAGTCTTGCTGTTGTATGGCTTTATAAGGTCTTGTGAAAATAATTAATAAAATGGCCGTATGCATCGCCTAAATGTAGAAGCCGGGGGTAATCCTTCTTTTCTAAAAAAATAGCACGAGCAGTACACCTCCAGGTAGTACGAAAGAACTCATTGAATTCTTTTCAAGATTTTTAGCAGTAGTTTCCCCCTTATAACACAGTAATAACCACATTGCTAGCACGTTCTTTAGACAGATTACCCAGATTAGCATGAGGAAAATAAGAAAAAACTTAACAAGAACAAAGTGAGGATTGGATTATTTGGTGCCGTTAAGTATCTCGTGAAAGTTGACGTGGTCGACACATGTGCCACTTGTATCATCTAATTGGACTTGTGCCAATCGTACCATCTAACAACCTTGTTACACGTCGGCCGGCGGATCTTTTTAAAAAATCCGCCGCCTTGACAGCAACTAGATATGGCATCATCGAATGATCCAACCACATCCTTATCATTGCAACAAAGACGGTGTTGCAGTACTTTCTGCAATAGAGTTCATGTTACAGATTTTTTTTGCAACAGTGGTTGTGTTGCAGATTTGCAACGTGGATGATGTTGTGGAAATGAGTTTTGCAACGTGAAAGATGTTGCAGAATGCAATGAAATATGTTTTCGCAACTGCCCCACCATCGAGTGACCCACAGGAAACACGTTGAGTACGAAGGAGGTAGTCAACAAGTCACATGAGATCTAGATCCTGCAACAACCTAGTTGTTGAGGTGGGGGAGATTGCAACAGTGGCTTAGTTGCAAACCTATAGTATGTCAATAGGCTACTGCACGAACCATCCCATCAAATCATATCCGGTGGCCACAGAGGCGACGGATGTGTGCGTCGTTATTGGTCGGGTCATGGTAAGCGTTTCATCTAATGGCATTGTGCGAGGAAATTCCGATTTCTTGTTGCTTTTCTCTTCACGTCAATACAAAATATTCCCCTTGTGCAAGAACTTTCTCACCATGCACTCGGCAGAAAAGAAAACTGCCCCCGCGTGGGCGGCACGGGAGGCGACTCTAAACCTAGTCGCCAGTCCTCTCTTCCCCCCTCCCCTGTGTCGTCGCATGGTCGACGGTAGCAATGGGGTCCTACTTGTGGTTGTGTGCTGAACTCCCCCTCCTCTGCACGAGTTGTGTAGTCGCGGCGCTGGTGGCAACTCCTATTGGTCAACGGTGGCGCGGGGAGCTTCTGATGGCAGGCACAGTGGGCACAACAGGAATCGGCAGCGGACCTCTGGGTCTCGCCGTCATCAAGGTCTGGAGGCCCTAGATCGGTCTCCCCAGTGGCCCGGGTCCTCGATGGTGTCGTGTGGGTGGACTGTTGGTGGCTGCCAGTGGCCTGTCCCTACACTGTCCGGGCCCCGTCTTTGCTCATGGGTGGGTCTCGGTGCGGCCCTACCCTGTCCCTGCTCCGTCCGTTATGTAGTGCTTGTATTAGGGGTGGAAGGAGAGGCCTACTGCCCATCTTGGTTGGTGGTGCCCATGTGCTCTGACGACGGCTCATCTTGGTTATGGTTGGTGGTGTCCTTATGCTCTGACGACGGTGGAGGGGCGGTCTGGGATGCCGGGGAGGTGGCCCTGGATGGTGGGATGCACGACTATCTCTCTGACGAGTAGCATGGTGGTTGTAAGGGCATATTTATCCCTAAGGTGTTTGGGTGATTGATGACAACACGTTTGTGGACTAATCGTGTGCCTTGAGTATCCCAGACATTTCATCGCCAGGCACAAGACGGTTGGGTGCCCCTCGAAGACTGTTGAAGATGACGTCTTTTCTACGTTTCTTTTTGGTGGATTTGAATCGTAGGAAAGCCATACTATTAAGAGGGGGTCCGCGTCTGAAAGGTTTGGGTGGAATCATCACGTACACATCTCCTTCTTGTCCCCTCATTTCCCTTGGAGCATCCTCCGCTTTCTCGCCGCCTTGTTTCTGGCTGCTGCGTTGGCTCACGGTAGTACTGCTCCCAAGTGAGCGGTAGTACCGTAGGCACCAGCTGTAGTACCGTGCAGCAGCGCGGTAGTACCGCAGGTGCCCACGGTAGTACTGCTCCCCTGGAGCTGCGCTACCGTTGCCCACCAGGCTAGTACCGCTCCCTCGCGGTAGTAGGGGCGGATGTAATTTTTTACATCCGCGCCTACCACGGTAGTACCGCTTTCGCTCCGCGGTAGTAACGTGCTATGTTGTCAGGCAGTTGTACCACCCATCTGCAGTACTACTGTGTCGGGTTTTTGCTTCTTCGGTTTCTTTGCGAAAGTAGGCACGGATGTTTCCTTCCCCTGGCTGGGGGATTCCTGCCTTGCGGTAGTACCGCATGGGGGCGCAGTAGTACCGCGCTCGCGGAAGTACCGCCCTCAGCTCATGTGTTTCAGATCTGACCTTGCTGTTGATGGGGTTGCGGCAGTACCGCGGGCCTGTACGGTAGTACCGCATGACCATGCAGTAGTACCGCTGGCCTGGAGCGGTAGTACCGCTGGCCGCGGGCTGGTAGGTGGATAACGGTTGGATCTTTGTCCCTCACTATATAAGGGGTCCCCTTCTTCCCCGTTGACTCATCTCTTCCAACCCTAAGCTCCATTGTTGCTCTAACCTCCATTTTCGCCCGATCTCACTCCCTAGCCAATCAAACTTGTTGATTTGC